GGGGGGGGGGGGGGGGGGGGGGGGGGGGGGGGGGGGGGGGGGGGGGGGTTGAACGAGTGGCTGTCTTTTTCACGTTTGCGGGAGGAGGAGAAGAAGAACGTTCAACGAAGGTTCAGTTGCTTCATTGATGGATTGGATGGATGATGGGCCGCGTTGGGGATCGAACACGTGGCGTCCTGTTATACATCTGCGGCGAAAAGACGACGAAGGTTAAGTCGCTGCTTGATCGATGGAACACGTGGCGTTCTGTGATACGTTTACGAATTTGGCTCTGGTTTTGGAAGAGGAGGGCTCTCGTCGTAAGAATGTTCAGCCCGTGGTTGATTGATGACGTGGACGATGATGACATGGAAGATCAATCTGACGAATCTGGCTCTGATTTCGGTAGATGGGGGCTTGTCCGCGAGTAGTGGGTACAGTATTTTTTTTCTGGTCCAGAGTATATGATTAGACCATCCGGGCGATGAGGAGAGGAGAGGTAGGAATGAATGAGAGTAATAAATTAACTGCTTCTTCTTGACTGTGATAGAAGAACGGTAAATCAGACAGAGAAGGAGATGGCGGCCGCCGCTGCTGCCCATTTTGCCGAAAGGCATGGGCGCTGGAAGCGTGAGGGAGCGAAGTCGCACTTGGTGAGGTGTACGAATGATGAACTGGGGCGTTTTGGACTGAATTTAGTCAGGTTAATCGGTCAAATTCGTCCCTATATGCATGGGCGCTGGAAGTAAGAGGGAGCAAAGTCACACTTGGTGAGGTATACTCATGATGAACTGGGGAGTGTTTTGGGGCGTTTTGGACTGAATCTAGTCAGGTTAATCGGTCAAATTCGTCCCTATATGCATGGGTGTTGGAAGTATGAGGGAGCAAAGTCACACTTGGTGAGGTATACTCGAGATGAACTGGGGAGTGTTTTGGGGCGGTCAAATTCGTCCACGAAAGTTGTAGGAAACCTTGGCACTGGAAACACAGCCACTCTTGGTGAGGTGTACTCGTCAGCAATTGGGGCGTTTCGGACTGAATCTAGTCGGGTAAGCGGACAAATTCGTCCAGGAAAGTTGTAGGAAACCTTACAGGGTCTCAAGTCTTTTCAAAGTTGTCTTCTGGTGACGGATGTTTCTATAGCGCTGTCCTCAGAGATAGCCTCGTGTAAGTTCTTATTATGCACGAAAGCATGTATCTAGTCCTTTTTCGGGACACGTCCGTCCGTTAAATGGGGAACGATACAGAGAAGGAAGATTAGCAGTTGGCCCCTGCGCAAGGTTGACACGCATAAATCGAGAAGTGATCCTAAAAAAAAAATTCTGTTGATTCCGCCCATGCGGGATCAGGATGCAAGTGATTGAGCACCGCTCAAAATAGCTCTTTTTTTTTTT